AATGGCGCGATCTCGCCTCACCGCAACCTCCGCCTCCTGGGTTCAGGCAATTCTCCTGCCTCAGCCTCCTGAGTAGCTGGGATTACAGGCACACACCACCATGCCCAGCTATTTTTTTGTATTTTTAGTAGAGACGGGGTTCCACCATGTTGACCAGGATGGTCTCGATCTCTTGACCTCGTGATCCACCCGCCTCGGCCTCCCAAAGTGCTGGGATTACAGGTTTGAGCCACCGCGCCCGGCCTTCATAGGTCTTTATTTTATTCAGTAGTAACCCAAGAGCCTAGAAGAGTATTGGGCACATACTACATATTCAATAAATTATGTGTTGAACAGATGCATCAATGAGGCAGACTTAGCTTGCTGATGGACTGATTAGGGGCGGAGGAATAGAGAAAGACGATGACCTTTCAGTTTTGGCCTAAATAACTGAATGACATGTGGTGCAATTTCATGATGGGGAAGCCTGGAAGAGACACAGGCTTTAGCAGTAAAAACAAGAGCTTCATTTTGTACATATCAGAGATATTTATTAAAGATCGCAGAGAAGATGTCCAGTAAACAGTTGAATTCATGAGCCTGGAGCTCGGGTCAGAAGTTGGGGGCCAGCGAGAAAACTTTGGGAATCTTCATTGGTTATAGATGGTATTTAAAGTCAGGAGGTGATAGGTGGTAAGTCGAGATTAAAGACAGTGTCAAAGATTGAGGCCTGAGGCACTTCAACATTTAGACTTCAGGAGGAGAAACCCATTAGACACAAAGGAAACCTGTGGAGAGTAGTGTCCCTGAAGAAAACAGAGGGAGTGAGAGACCAAGTGTATCACATGTTATTGGGAGAGTGAGTAGGATGGCCCCAGATCTGTTGACTTTGGCAAGTGTAAATTCGGGGAGTAGGAACAAAAGTATAGTGATTTGAGAGCTGACAGAACTCGGGGAGCACCTAGCTCAAGCTCCTGTATAAATGGTATAGCTAGAAATGAATCAAAATCTTGATTGTGGTGATAGTTTACTGGGTTTATGCATGTCAAAACTTATGTAAGTGTAAACTTCGCAGTTTACTGCGTGTGCCATTTAATTTGTGTACAGTTTATTGTATGTTACTTTTAGCTCAGTAAAGCTGTTAACGAAAAAAAAAATGAACCGAAACTCCACTCCACCACGACTTCTGCATGTTGGGCCCCAGTTCCCTGTTTACAATTGTACACTTCGTAATTTTGTGACACAGTTCAACACCGGACCAATCAGACCTCCCCTTTAATCATTGGACTGCGCTCTTTTCTGCCCATGACCCTCTCCTAAAACACGCGCAATCTCCTCTCTCTCCCACTTCTTCCCTTGTTTCTTCCTTGCCTACCAGCCTCACCTGATCGGCTCGTGCTCTATTCGTTCCCGATCCACTCGGGCTCTGGCGGCTGCTGCTTGGGCTCCTTCGAGCATTGCGGTGGCAGAACTAGACACGAGAGTTAGAGATAGAAACTAGAATATACTTAAAAAAAAAAAAAAAAGTATGCCTCAACTCCTTCAAAGTAGTCCGAAATTATGTTCATTTCTTGAGTCTCGCGGCGTCGGGAGGTCACGGGGTCAGGCTTCCCAGACAGTCGTAAACGCCGTGTGGACGCTACGCGAGCAGTCAGACAAGAAGTGAGCAGTCGGACGCCGGCCCCGCCCCGTCATTGCAGGCCACGCCTCCACGGGACCAGGACCTTGGCTCTGAGAAGACTACAAAACTCGCACGTGCGCCTCCCGGGGGCGGGGTTGGCCGCGCCGGCGTAGAGAGTCCGCCCCATCGCCGAGTTCCACGCCGCCGGAAGCGGAAATAGCACAGGGTGCCGCCACAGTAGCTGTAACCGCCACCGCGATGCCGAAGGGGCCCAAGCAGCAGCCGCCAGAGCCCGAGTGGATCGGGGACGGAGAGAGCACGAGCCCATCAGGTGAGGCTGTTAGGCAAGGAAGACACAAGAGCAGAGGGAGAAGAGAGAGGAGACTGCGCGGGTTTTAGGAGAGAGTCGTGGGGCGCGAGACTGACTGGGCCCTTGCGGGGATTACTGCGCATGCCTGCCGTGGGCCCGGGAGGAGTTTGCCGGGCAGGAGTGGGTTTGGAATCGGGGTTAAAGGAAAGAGATCCAGATGTTGCACGCGACCTAAGTGAGACTGGGCAAGAGAAAAGAAAGAGCATGTGGTACCAAGGGAAAGAAGGGGAAAAATGGGAAAGCTTTTTTAAAAAATTTGGACATCTGCCCCACACACATTGTATTCCACAGGAATATATAAGCCCTGCCGCGACCTCCCCATGCCCCTACGCGTGCACACATAAACTTTGGGAGCCTGTGTTCCCACTTGTTTCTCAAGAGAGGATGACTCCTTCGTGGATTCTTTCTTAAGACACCCCTATCACTCAACTGGAGCAAGAGTGTAAATTTTGGATGTTGGGATGAGGCTTAAGGTTTACTTAAAAGCAGCGAATGTTTGTTAAGCGTCTGTTTTTAATTAAGCGCTTCATATACTGTGCTTTAAGAGGGAAAGGAAAAAAACGAACACATCCTCCCAGGGTTGAAATCACTTTTAAGGGTGAGGTAAATGGACACAATTAACTACAGTAGGTACGCAGTGACTAATTTTAAAAGCACTTATTGGGTGCCTACTGTATACCAGGTACTGTGCAGAAGAACTGGGAATATAGAGATAAAAGGTAAGAGTTTCCTTCAAGGGGCAACCCAGTGTAGTGAGGGGCCAGAGCATTAACTAGACAGTGGTTGTCAGAGTATGATGAATTTGCTTAAGAATGCTATGGGACTGGGCCAGGCGCTGTAGCTCACTCCTGTAATCCCAACACTTTGGGAGGCTGAGGTGGGCGGATCACCTGAGGTCGGGAGTTTGAGACCAGCCTGGACAAACCAACAGAGTTTGAGACCAACCAACATGGAGAAACCCTGTCTCTACTGAAAGCACAAAATTAGTGGGTGTGGTGGTGTATGCCTGTAATCCCAGCTACTCAGGAGGCTGAGGCAGGAGAAGAATCGCTTGAACGCAGAGGCGGAGGTTGCCGTGAGAGAGATCCCACCATTTCACTCCAACCTGGGCAATAAAAGTGATACTCCATCTCAGGGGAAAAAAAATGCTATGAGACTATAGAAGAGAGGAGGAGCATCTACTCAGACAGATAAGGGAGTGTCAGAAAAGCCTGCGAAGAATATGTAATAGCTGAGTCCTCTTTCTTTCTTTCCTTTCTTCCTCTTTCTTTATTTCTTTCTTTCGAGGAACACTGTAGCTCCGTCACCCGGGCTGGAGTTCAGTGGCATGAAC